CCTGGCTGTTGTTCTGATGACATTAGATCCTGCGAGGAAGGATCTGGGCTTCTTCCAACCCATATGGGGGATCCAAACAGCAGTGGATGACCTTAGAATTCTCGGCCTCTGAGGGCACTCCAATTCCCCGTGGTCTCCTTGACAGTTGGGATATAGTCCTTGGTGCCCATACTGATAGTCCTTGGTGAGGATCCAGGAGTCTCTAGGGTTGGGATACAAGCCTCCTCCTGTTCTCCTGCTCCACTCTCAGATTCCCCTCCTCCTGCTCTGTGCATATGACCTCCTGTTAAGAGGTTGTCAGGATCACTCTTGATTCCCCTGTATGTCTTTGTAGTTTTGCTACTGTCTAATGCTGATTCGAGCCTGTTGTCTGTTTTACCTGTTTGTTTTTGATAGGTTATACTTAACCTCTTCTTCACACATTTTAAGAAGGTGGATGATTTCTCTGCTCTCCCAACCCATTACAGAATAGCATAGAGTATTGAAAGTATTAGGTTTTACAGTTCTTTGGTGTAGATCATAAGCAGTCTGACTCACATTGATTGCTGGTTCATTGGTTATGTTACAGTATCTTATTGCATGTGATACAGACTGCTTGAGGTTGAAATAATATTACAATCTATAGGTACTATTTTTTGGATTGACAACCTTTCATCTTAAATTAAGGGGAACATGTGGAATCTAACCTTTTGGAATTGGCTCATTTTCCTTAGCATAATGGTTTTCAGTAGAGCCCATTTGGCCACAAAGAACTGCATTTCGTTTGTTTTAATAGCTGAGTAGTATTTCATGGAGTAGGTGAACCATAGCTTTCTTATCCAATCTTCTGTTGATGGGCATTTCGGTTGCTTCCAAGTTTTTGCAATTATTGATTGTGTTGCTATGAACATAGGGGGGCATGTTGATTCCTTGTGTAAGAGGTGTTTTGAGGGAGATCTTATTATCTACTGTCTCTTATCATCACTTTGTGTCCCCTTATCCTTTTCTCCCACTTTTCTCCCTTCCTCTATCTTCCTATCTCCCCTTGCCCTACCTCTCTCTCTCTGGATCTTCCCAAGTGCCTTTTGAAAAAACATTTTAAAGACATGTGTTCCTCCAGTATTTCAGCAAACATTGTTTGCCAGTTGGTTATTTTTTCCCACATTGTTACAAGTAAGCTGTGATTAATAAATTAGCATTTCATGAGATTTTATAATTATTGAAATTTATTTCATAGGGAGAGACACAGTGGAGAAAAACAAGTTTCATTAGCTGGTTTGTAGCTTTCCTGCCAAGTGCCTGCCAAGGCTGAGACAGGGCCAAGCCAAAGCTGGGAGCCAAAACTCAAACCAGATCTCCCATCTGGGTAGCAAGAAGTCAATTACTTGAATGGCCCCTGGCTTGTTTCCTGGGGTCCTCACTGGTGCAAAGCTGAAGTCAGGGCTGGAACCAAACACCAAACCCAGACACTTTGATGTGGGACACAAGACTCTCAACCAATGTGCTACCTGCTAGGCCAGATACTTATCCCTTACTGCCTATTTTAAATTACTGATATTGAAATTTAGTGAATAAGATGGTGATTAGACTAGTGAAGATACACACATATAATGCTATACATGTAATTTGAGCATTAGTTCTCAGACATAGCTTCCTGCTAACAATCACTGTGGAAATCAGCAGAGATGTGATTTAAGACTCCTGCTAGCTGCAGATGGCACCCACAATCAGCTAATTGTTCTTGATTTTGGCCAGGTCCAACCTTAGTTATTGATAGAATTTGGGAAGTGACTCAGCAGTTGAGAGTGTTCTTTGTATCTATGTCTGCCTTTCAAGTAGCGACTTAACTTTTTTAAAAGCCAGATTGGAGTGCTCTAAAACTTCGCCATGACTTTAGAAGCTATTTCAGGCATCACTGCCTCTTTTTTTCTGCTCTATTAATGGGCACAAAAGGGAAATACAACTTAAGCTCGTTTTAGCTTTTAGAATTTTCCTTCCTAGGACAGCTAGAATAAGTCTTACGATCCGGCCTATATTTTTACCTCTTTACTTTCCTCTATATCTCAATTGTAGTATTTCTTGTGATATTAATAAACATTTACTGGGCATGTATTATTTACATATCAGTGCTAAAACTTTGTTGAATGAAGTATAATTTTTCCCATCTCATAGGTCATGAGCAACTTGCAAACTCACATAGCTCATAAGGAAGTGGGGATTTGATTACAGGTAGACTGACTTTAATATCTATTCCTTAAACTATGAAACTTCAAACTGCAAATTATAAATTCTGGTTTATGAGAAAATCAACCTAATAGATATGGTTAATCAAGCCCCTCTTTCTTCCTTGTAATTATTTTTTTGGATTGAATCCAGTTGATGATAGTTTTACAAGTACTCCATGTGCTGGTTTGAATGGTTCTATTTAAGAAACATATTAAGGTACATAAAAAAAAGTTTGTGGAAAATGCATATGATGAAAATAACATACATGGATGTCAAAGTTCTTGCACCCAAATAAGCATCCTTTAATTGCATTTTATCTGAACTTTTTGAAGCTCCATCTTATATCTAGCAATTGCAATATGGAAATAGTTGCTGAACTTTTCAATGCCTTTCTTTTATTATTCCCAAAATACAGATATTGATTTAGGATAAAATGTTCTGACACATAGTAGATCTTCTCTAATAACAAGCTTGGTGTGTTTTCTGTAGAAGTGGTTGGCATGGTGGCTACTATTTCCACTCTGAATTTCAGTGAGGGTGAAGTGATTTTGTCTAATATGCAAAGGGCGTTTTAAAGTGTTACAATATCTTATTGCATGTGAACATTCATTTTCAGTTTGACTGTTTTAGAAATTGCAGTGTGTTCTGTACCAACATATGCTCTTGAAAGGACAATTAGCTCATTTGCAGTTGGTAATAGGTCAGTTATGTTGGCAAAATGCAAAAGTTATATAGCTTTGTATATGATTTATTCTGGGCAGTGGAAAGCAGAGTAGCCAAAATAAAAGTGTAACCAACTATGAGAAAGGAAGCCCCCAATTTGAACATTGTCTAATCATTGAGAGTCCCTTTTCCTCAGTTTAAAAGAAATAGAAAATAGCAGCAGGTGTTTGTGTATAGAGCTGCCTTTTAGAAAGGATGCTGCTCTGGCATGTCTGACCCTTCAATTTTGTTCAGATTGCACTGGCTGTGCTCCTTTCAGTGGCAAGTTCACTGGCTGGGAATTTGCTTTCAAAGTGTATTTCTTCTCACAAATTTTAATTAAAGTCCTGCAATGCTTCTACTGAATTGCATCTTAAAAATACAATTCTAGACTAAACTATATGCTTGGGTAACCCAAATTATCTTCTTACATACTAGTATTATTATTTTCTGGTTATGTGCTCCATAAATTGCATATGTTTTGAAAGATTTTCCAAGAATCTATTCGCCCCCTGTCCTCGATCCTGTTATTTTTGGTATGTCATTTTGTTTGCAGTGTGAGGTTTACAGGATACATGTGTCTTGTCCTTACTTAAATACAGTTTTAGGAACTTGAACCTCTGCAGGTCTGAAATAACTTATGGCTTCTGGAAATTTGAGTGTGCTGAACAGTTTGTAAATTATATAGCAACTTCCTTCCTTAGAAAGATGGTTTTATTTCTTTATCACAACTAGCACTTTATTTGTTTCTTATTATTCCACTGTGAAAATCCCAGTTGGACTCTTTTTTTTAAGTCTTCAAGATTCCCAACTTACACTTCATGCTATATCAGCAATAGCATATACATTTTATTTTATTTATTGAATCTTTTGTCACAAAATTACTTTTCCTCACTTAAAATACACAAGTTATACAGCTGGTGATAAAAGGCCAAAGCATTACCATTTCTTTATTGAGCTACTTTCTATACAATAAATGAATCCAATAATTGGCACCCTTAGTGAGTACATTTATATATCCCTAGTGTTTTGCTTGAGTTGTGACTAATTCTGACAATTATATTTTTATATTTGGTAAATATTATCATAGGTTTCTAGATTAAAAAGTACAAAATAATTCTAGAATTTTTAGATTTCTTGTAGAATACATCAGAAAATCTACTTAGTTTTATTAGATAGGAAATTGTTATTAAAATCTCAATGACATCCTTTTTTTTTTGCCAAATAATGGGTGAATTTCTTTCCATATCCATTATCTAAAATCATTTTCAGAACAATAATGGGGATTCATTAAATATTTTCTTAAAAATTTATCCCCAGTTTTTTGTTATAGCTTCTGATGTGCTTTTTTGTAAATCAGAACTGGAATATGAAAGTCTTGCAACAAAATAATTTTACAGATAAAGTCAATCACTGAGTATATGTTTGGACATGCCTTAGAAGTTTAGACTTTCAATACAGACTTTATCTTGAGTTACCAGATTCTTGTGAAATGTTTTAAAATGTACTTTTAACAGTTAAATTAGTGTTCTGTTTCATGACTTTGGTTAAATTTCTCAGTGCACCTGAGTCACAGTTGTCTTTCATATAGAAAATATGTCTTTTGTATAGAAAATAAACGTTCGTCTGCTTTGAATCATTCGAATGAGTAAGTGTGGTAGAGTTCCCAGGGACTGAAATGTAGTATATTGCAAAAAAATATTAGCTGTGAATAGCTTTATCATTATTATGAAATTTAGGAATTGCAATGTATTCGTTGCCCTGCTCCCTATGTTTCCTATCTTTCCTAACCTGGGCAGGCCTGAGCTGGTGAACGATTTAACTGCACTAGTTAGCTGCATTATTGCATGAACTTAATCTGGTTTCCGGAGATGAAACAGAATGAGCATCATGGCTCATGGCTGTCCGTAGTGAAAAATAGCTGGAAATCAGACAAACAGCTTCATTGCTAAGATTGTTTCCGGGCTAAAAGTTCTTCCAACAGCTGTTTGTTTTGGCCATTAACATATCCATTCTTCTTCTTCTTCTTTTTTTTTTTAATCTAGAGGAAATACTTATTTTCTTTAAAAAGAAAATGCAGGCTGGTTATTTCTGAAGTCAGGAAGAACTCCTGTCCCGTCACTGTTGTGGTCTTTTGGCTTCTTTGACAGTTGGACTAAAGGGCTTTTCCTTTTGTTTTTCTCCTCTTTTCCACTCTGAACGCTCAGACGGGAGCTGTAGTGAGAAGAGAAATCAAAAGTAGGAGCTCTTTATTCCCAGAGAAGGAACTCTCTAACATATACCTTCAAGAAGAGTTTACTCCCCCAAAGGAGTATTTAGTATTACATAGACAGTGACTCATTGAACAGAGGGAGAAAAGGGGGAGCAAAGACATGAACGGAGAGAGCAGAGAGAGAATAAAAATACAAGAAATCCAGCCAGCAAGATTCTGAACAACAATGTAAGAAAATTTTGCTTCATCCAGAAATATTAGTAGTTTTTAATTTTTTTAACATCAGAATGACTGCTAGTTTTGTTTAAATTATTTGTTCTGGAAATACTAAAGTCTACTAGACTGAGGTTAGAGGCATTTTCTTTGGCAGCAGGAAGATACTTTTATAAAAGCCATGCCTGTACTTGGGGTTGCCTCGAAACCGAGACAGCCAGCTGTTGGGTCAAAGCCTGTTCATACTGCTCTTCCGATACCAAATCTTGGCACTACTGGACAACGGCACTGTTCCTCAAGACCTTTGGAACTTGCTGAAGCAGAGAGCTCGATGCTTTCTTGTCAGCTTACATTAAAATCAACCTGTGAATTTGGAAAGAAGAAACCCTTCCCAGGAAAAGCCAAGGAGAAAGAAGACAGCAAGGTTAGTAGGTTACCTCTGGACTTGCATAGCTGAATGCAAAGCTCCTTTTAGTTGTACCAGAAAACCCATTGCATAACAGAGACTAATAGAGGAAACCAGTGTGAGAACTGTGTTTAGAATGATGAAAAACTAAGTATTTAGCTTATGTAAAGACTGCCTGTGTTTTTGGTTTGTATTTGTAGAAGTTTTGAGCAAAATTCTCTGAATATGTATATATTGTAATCAGTTTGTATTAGATGGTAATGAAGTGCCTGATTTGTTCTAGACGCTGCTGAATCACTAATAACCACAAACCATTCACAGATGTAAAAAAAGAGGACCTATTTTCATTCATGGTACAATGTAATAGGAGATTTATTTCTAATATATGGATACTGTCACTTTTCTCTAAATGGTGTTTGCACTTTGAACAGTTTCTGTTTGTGTATTTTTATAATAGACTGCTTACTTCACTATATTATGAAGGAAAATGAAATATTACTTCTCTTGATAACACACATTTGTCTGGATTTTCTCTTGTAAATTGAAACCCTACTGTTTTACTTACTACTGACATCTTTAGTTATTTAATTGATGCCAGTGTGTTAGCCATAGCTCACAGCTTTAGCTTGCTAAGCCATGCTACACTCCCTTTCTCTAGCTGTTAGGTGCTGTGGACACCTTACCACTGATGAACCCGGGGACTCTTGTGAAACCTTGATAGGTGCTCTTTCTTAAATGTAGCATTAATTATGATGTCCCACTCTTCAAAGTCATCATGATCACCTCTAGTTTCTTATGAAATGATTTGCTTTAATGTCTGATCTGAAAAGGATAAAAACGATGGATAAAAGAGAAACAAGTATATAGTATTGAAATCAGCTCTGCAAGAAAAGAAAGCCTCTCCTGTGATCTGACATGCCTAGTCCATCTGTCTTTAGCTGATCATGTCTTATGGCAACAGTCCGTAGGCAATTTATTTCATAACGTCTTTGTTGACTCTCCCTATTCCTCCTTTTTTTTTTCAGGATTCGTTGTAGAGGTACTCACAGCATCTTTATATATCACTGTTTTAATTATATGGATATTTCTTCCTACCTCCACAAAATTGAAACTACTTAAAAGACAGGATCCATATCTTATTCTGTACTCCAACCCTTCCCTGTCCAAGGAACAATTGTGTAGCAGTTAATTGTGTAGCAATTGTGTAGCAATTGTGAATGAGTTAATACAGGAATGAATGAATCAATGAGTTAATTTATAATTATTTTAAGAATGATTGTTTATTCATCTCCTTGAAACTTTCATCATAAAACAATAGAACTGAAATGAATGAGTTTTACAATTATAGCTCTAAGAAAATAAAAAGAAAAAAGTTGATTAAGAGAAAATATTTCATTATTGGGTTATAGTTCTCAGTACAATATGAGTAATTCACAGTGAAAATAGGAAAGTGTAAAATTATTAGGAACACTTAACATATTCAACTTTCCACAGATAATTAAAAGCAAGTGGCAGATGATTCTATTCACTTCTTATGTATCGTGGTTTATCTGGAGTTGGTAGAAAGACTAGGTAGACCCATTGTCTCCGCTGACTGTGGCTTTCCTAACAGCATGTTCACTTCAACTCCAAATGGCCTTGGCTTATGACTACCAGACTTGACTACTTTGAGCACTGTTTTCAATAGAATTTTGGTTGATCTTTTTGGTTAACAAACATATTAATCAAATGTTTGATATTTCAACAAGACTCTGTGGCAAGCAAAGTTGTATTTATAAGATGTTTTTCCATGCCACTTATCAGATTAAAAACCTTTTATAACAAATGTAAAGAATGCCTGGTCAGCATTTCAGAACACTTCTAAATGTTGACAGAAGTACAGTTGGTGTTTTGCTTTTAGTTTTTGAGCAACTAGAGCAAAGAGTGGAAATGACAAAAATATTTGTGTTAGCAAGAAGTAAGATTTGGCTATAAATAATAGAAATCTCAAGATAACACTGGCATAAATAAGGTAAGAGTTTATTTCTTTCTGGTGAAAAAGCATTTGAGTTAAGTGGCTCATGCCTGGTAGCGTGACTTTATGAAGCTGATAGTGAACCAAGTACTCTCTGGGTTGCATATCACTTGTAGTTTCCATCTTGGGCTCCACTATAGTAAAAGATTATACCCAATTCTATCACTAAGGATTCCTCTGCATTCCACTAGCCAATATGTAATTCCAAGCCCTTACCTAGTTTCAGTGGATGAGTAAAAATGGAGTTTTTATACTAGCAGTCATGTACGTAGCTAAAAAATGATGGGTTTTATTTCTAAGGAAAAATCCTCTCATTGATAGGACCCACAATAGTTGGCTATCATTTAAAAAGATTTATGTGGAGCAATACCAAACCATCTGAAAGTCTAATTTGAGAGAGAAAACAAGCACAATAATTGCAGTTTTTAAAGATTTATATTTTTTTATTATTTTTTTATTGGAAAGGCGGATATACAGAGAGGAAAGACAGAGAGGAAGATCTTCCGTCCGATGATTCACTCCCCAAGTGAGCGCAATGGCCGATGCCATGCCGATCCGAAGCCAGGAGCCTCTTCCGGGTCTCCCACGCGGGTGCAGGGTCCCAAGGCTTTGGGCCGTCCTCTGCTGCTTTCCCGGGCCACAGGCAGGGAGCTGGAAGGGAAGCTGGGCTGCGGGGATAGAACCGGCGCCCATATGGGTCCCGGGCGTGCAAGGCGAGGACCTTAACCACTTGCGCCACCGTGCTGGGCCCAATAATTGCAGTTTTGTGACTTCAATCCACAATTCTCTTGTCCTATTACTGTTTTTGGTTTGTGAAAATGCCATCACTCCAAACGTTTAATCTTGAGTTGGTAGGCTAATACTTGATGATATACATTATCATCTCACATCCCATAATGTTTGAGAAATTGGAGATATCACTGTGTATGACATCCTTTTTCTTTTTTTGAAGTATTTATTACTATTTATACTGAATGTCAGATATGCCGAGAGAAGGAGAGAGAGAGATCTTCCATGTACTGGTTCACTCCCCAAAAAGGCCACAATGGCTGGAGCTTAGCCAATCAAAATCCAGGAGTCAGGAGCTTTCTCCAGGTCTCCCACATGGGAGCAAGGTCTCAAGGGCTTGGGCCAACCACCACTGCCTTCCCAGGTAACAAGCAGGGGGCTGAATCAAAAGTGCAGCAACCAGACCCACACAGGTGAATATAAAGGAATGCTGGTGCTGCAAGATGTTGGATTAGCCTTGAACCACCACTCCAGTCCCTCTTTGTGTTACATCTTGCATAAATCCCAACCCTCCTACCACCCACATTGGCCCATTGTCAGGTGTTTTTTGTTTTTTTGTGTGGTTTTTTTTTTTGGATCAATTATTTCAATAGTTCTAGATTAGTATCCTTTCCTAATGCCTGTCCATTGTCAAGTGTCTACCAACTGTATCATCCTATTAAGGTCACAAAAATATTCATTGCTTCTTACATTTCACGGTTTCATCATGCGGGTATTCCAGTCTCTGAATTATTACTTTTTATTTTCCATAGCTCCATCCAACTACTGTATACCTGTGTGATTTTTCCTGGGTGCACCCTGATTCTTCAGGTAGTTCAGTTCCACTATGTGTTTTTTTAACTGAATAATACTGTTTCCAGACTTGATAGCACATACACTTGGAAAATTCACCAGAATATTTCAAGTGGTTTATGTTTTCTTTAGCCATACATTGTTGTAGTTGCTTGCTTGTTTTATGTTTTCTATTCTCTTTCCTCATATGGATTCATTTTTCTATTCCTCCTGGGCTTTTACCCTCATGAAGTAAAAAGTCATTTTGTTCTGGATACATTATTTAAAGACATAGAAGTTTAGGTTTAAAAGAGCTCTGTTTTGCCCCAGCTCAGCAAATAAAATAGTGTTAAACACTAGTTACCACTATTCAGGAAGGTTCTAAGACTGTATTTACTTCTAAGAATGCTTACTGCTCTTGACGTCTTCAAGTCCAACTTCCTTCCCATAAACCACTACCACTTCCTCACTGCTACTGTATTTTCAATGTGTTTTTGGTTTTGTGTCCACTTACCCCTCCTCTCTGTGCAAACTCGATTTTACATATATATATATTCCTTCAGATTGCTCAGTTCCACTATGTGTTTTCTTTGCTCTTTTTTCAAGTGCCTACCCTGTATGTTATGGGAAATTTCTCATTTAATTCTCATGATGTTTCAAAGAAGGCACGTTGTCAACCTTCATGGAGAGGCAAACTGAGGCTTTGAGAGAGTTGAGGGAGGGGATACTTCTCAATGAGATCATACTGATAATGAATACAAGCAGGTCCTTCTGAAGTCTGTTTCCCTCATACTATAAGTAACCTCTCTTCCTAATATAACGGCAATATCCCCAACACTCATGTCAAAAGTCAAAGAAAAATCAGACTAGAACGGATAAAATGACTAGTACTGACACTTTGAAAACAGAAGATGCTTGAAAGCATACATTACCATAGACATATGACATAAAAATAAAACAAATGCAGCAGATATGTACAAGCAAATGTGTTGTATACATAGAATTGCTGATAAAGACAATACTTTCTTTTGATTTTCTGAATTCATTTGCCTTTTATTTGAAAGACCAAGAGTCAGAGAAGGAGAGACCATGGCATAGATCCTCCATCTGCTGGTTTATCTCCAAATGCCTGCAATAGCTGGGATCCTATCGAACTCAAGCCAGGATGTAAGAACTCAATCCTGGATCACTCCTGGAGGTGACAATGATGGGGCTTCAATAGCTGTCACTGCCACATCCCCGAGTGTGCCCTATCAGGAAGCCAGAATCAGAAGCAGAGTCAGGGTTTGTAACCAGGCAGTTTGGTATGGGATGCATCCCTCCTCAGCCAAATATGCCCAGGAACCATTCTTTTACAGGTTTTAGGGCTGAGAGAAGTCCCATTTCACTAGACCATTCAGAAATATTTTGTGAGTTGTTGAAATTTAATAGGCAGATAGGAATT